TATATATATATATATATATATATATATATATGTATATATGAAAAATATAAAAAAATGCATGTGGATACTCAAATGAAAGCTCTTGATGAGTGTAACATCAGGATGAGCTTATATCTTTAAAAATGTCAATAGTTGAGAAAATACAGTGCAATTTAACAATTGTCATTATTTGCTAAAGCAAAATTCTATTTATTTATAGTTAACAAGTCATGGCAGTCTCAGAGTGATTGCAAGGTTGCTAGTTAATTAAAAAAAAAATTAAAATAGAAAAAATAAGATACCTAATTTTTGTACTGCAGACTGTGTGAACATATTCTCGAATTTTGGGATTCTTGCTGAACAACTGCTCATACTCTTGGATCAGCATCATATAAATCGTAGGAACAGCCATGAAAACATTGACTCGTTCGGGATTCTGGAGATTTACAGCGAGAAGTTGGGCCCAGACACTGGAAGTTTCGAATTTCGGGAGCATGACACACCGCGCTCCAATGTAAAGAGGACACATCAGGACGTTGACGATTCCGTGGATATGATTAAGAGGTAGAGTATGTAAGACTATATCCTTGTCTGTCCACTTCCACGCGGAGATAAGCGCGTTCATTTGGGACTGCAGGTTCTTGTGAGTCAGCACCACGGCTTTGGGCGTTCCAGTGGTCCCGGATGTGTACACGAACATCGCGTCGCTGTCATTGTAAAATTCGTCCTTCAATGGAGTCTCAGATGACTCGTCGAAGTACTCTACGTCAGTGTCTCGGTTGTTCGCTAATCTTGGTAATGGTTTCATGGCGAGGAGTCGCAGTGCGTTGTCCAGGACTATCAAGCGACAATTGCATTTTGAGGCGATTGGTTCCAGTAACGGGGCAAATTCAGTCGTTGTGATTACAACTTTTGATCCTGAATCTTTTAGGTAGTACTCCAGGACTGGAGGAGGACTTGTTACACTTAGAGGTACGGCTAAAAAATTTTTGTTCTTATTTATTATTTCAGTTCTTAATTATTGACATTTTTAAAGATATAAGCTCATCCTGACATTACACTCATCGAGACCTTTTATTTGAGTACCCACATCAATTTTTCATATATTTATATATATTATATATATATATGTATATATGACAAATATATAAAAATGCATGTGGGTACTCAAATGAAAGCTCTTGATGAGTGTAACATCGGGATGAGCTTATATCTTTAAAAATATCAATAGTTAAGAAAATACAGTGCAATTTAACAAAAGTCATTATTTACTAAGGCCAAATTCTATTTACTTATAGTTCACAAGTCATGGCAGTCACATAGTGACTGCTAGTTATATAAAATTGAAATTTTATAAATTTTATACATTTTCTCATGATTTTTAGTTGAATTAATTTTTTTAGAATAAAAAATTTATAAATTTTTCATTTATTCGAGTTAAATTGTTTTTTTTTTTTCTTTTTTTTTTTAATTAAAATTATTTAAAATTAAAATTTAAAAAATTTTCATTAGTTTGAGTTGAATAAAATTTTTTTAAATTAAATTTTTTATATTTTTAAGTTAAGTAAATTATTTAAAATTAAAATTTTATAAAACTAGTCAGGTAAAAAAATGAAGTCCATTATTTTCAATTGTTATCAACATAAGAATTATTCAAATTATTAAATAAAATAATTACCAATTTGTCCACTCATCCAACATGCCCACTGAACAATAACATATCTCGCATCATTGGGCATCAAAAAAGCAATTCTTTCTTGCTGGCCTTCCTTTAAAATATTTGATAACTCTCCAGCAAATTGTCTGGAGCTCAAAAATAATCCTCTGTATGTATAATACCCCTGTAAATCTCTTAAGGCTGTTTTATCACCAAATTTAATGGCGTTTCTAAATATTGGTACTACATTATTGTTTCTTGGTGGCTAAAAGAAAAATTTACAAAATTATTTTTACTCAAAAAAATTATAAATGCAATTTTTTAAAAATAAATTTCTAAACCTAGTTCAATAAAAAATTATCAAGTATCTGCTGAATTAATTTTAATTTAATTCTTAAACAATTTATGAAATATTCATATTGTTTATATTATTTATAAATACCTCGTGTGTTTCATTAATAGAACTAAGTGCAGCATGTGTCTGTTGTAATCTCCTGACAATTAAATTATTTTTCTGACATCTAGCAATACCATACGCAGAAGAATAAAAACTACGTCTCAGCAGCGATCCCATTGTGTTAATAAATTAAATTAAAATTATCTTCCACGTGTCAAATTTCTGTAATCTTAAAATAAATGTCAATTATAAATGCCAATTATAAATATATGTCAATTGAAGGTATGCCGACAGTAAATATATGTCTTGAGTATTGTTGAAAAATAAACTTAGACATTTAATAAAAATCATATGATTAATAAAAATAAACTTTTATATAAACATACATTTATATGTCCACTGAAAATATTTCATGTATTATATATTATGTACTTATATACATATTCATAATTATAAATACATGAAAAGAGTTATAAAAATATGGAAACAGTACCGTGTGATTCAGTAAAATAAACAAGTAAAAGGTTTTAAAAAGGGGTTACAATATGGACCTTGAATTCTTGAATTTCTTGAATTAATTAAAATAAATATCTTAAACTCAGAGATTAAATCTGTCATATAAATTCATACCTTATCAAACATAATTATTAGAGTATTTATATTTTATTACAGATTGATATTCGCGCCACTTGTTATTTTATAATACTCAAGACACTTTGACAGCCAGATCACTTTTAATAACAACACATAAAAATAACTCGAGAATGACAAGTTGACTTATCTACATATTTTTTCGATAGGTTACTCGGGTAAATTGTATTAAAAACAAAACTGAGTCCCCTCCATCTCAATCTTTATTCATCTACGTCATGTGCCTACGAAAATAATAAATAGTTCTTTTTTATGACTCTGAAGTTAGCTGACATCTGTCAGTTTTTTTTTGAATTCTTACAGCAAATTATTTACAGTAATAAAAATGCTTCCCAAAATTTCTACTTATATTTTTTTTTAATTCTTTCATATGAAATTTTACTATTAAATTTTTTTTTTTATTATAATTTAATTACTGTAAAATTTAAAAACGATTTTGTAATGTCTGTTAACTTCAGTGCCATCTAGTTTACCAGTAATTAGTAAGATAAATCTATAATTGACAATTAATTAATTAATTAATTAATTAATTGTTTTTTAATAATTACATACCGTCATTTTTTTTTAATAATCTTAATAATTAATAATTATTTTTTTTTTGATAGGAGAAAAAAAATCTTAAAAACAAAATACATCTTAAGGAAGTTTACACGCACCCTTGCGCGCGCAACGTTTATTTAGTTTGAATTTTGAGATTAAGTGGTGTGTTAGTTTTCTTTTTCTAATGACAGTCTTGACTATCGAGCTTATGGAGCGTAGAACTTTTTTTTCTAGTAAAAAATATAATTTATAAAAAAGTAAAATTTAAATTTCAGAATTTAACAAAATTCAACACAGCGCACAATAGAAGAATATCAATGTTAGGAATAACCGACGACGATGTTCACGAATCAAACCGCAAGCGTAAAAAAAAGAAATAACATTCAACGACGATGAAGAAGTAATCAACCCAGAGGACGTGGACCCTTCAGTGGGACGTTTCCGCAACCTCGTGCAAACAACAGTGGTCCTTAGTAAAATAATGAGCCCTTGCTCACGAGCCCAAGAAGAAGAAATACGCCAAGGAAGTTTGGCCTGGAAAGAAACCTTTGTCCACGCTTTTGGTGTAAGTAATTTTTATGGTACAATTAATTGTACAAAATAAATTTGAAATTTAAATGAATATCAATACAATAAATTTGTTATTGATATAATTATATAACAATGTATTATTATAAAAATCGCCTATTCTCATTATTAATTAATTAAATTAACTCAACAACAACTTCAATTTTTGAGTCTTCGGGAAGATCGTCTGGTTTTTTTCCAGAAACGATCTCCCATGTCATTGTCGGCTCAAGCCGGGTAACACCACCATATTTCATGACATACAGATTCGGCCGGATCGTTGAGATTTTTATTTCCTGGTGATCCTCCTCGCATGGTAATTGTAAAACGCATGTCCCGGAAATTGTAGAAGAATCTTTCTTCTTTAAAATTGAGATGTAAAATCTGTCTGTTGAGTTTTCAATCGAGTGAAATGATGATAAAATCACGTGGTTTTTGGCACCAATCGTGAGACGCATTATTTCACCTTTCATCTTTATCTACAAAATTATAAAAATTATTAATTTATTTATATATTATTCAGTTATTCGGCTGCCCAATTTTAAAACACAGTAACTGCAAAATTTTTATACCTGATTTCTTTTTAGTATTGCTGCATTTTTTATAACTTTTAAACCTGAATTTCAAGTATTTTTTCTTAAAAATATTTATATTTGAGTATTTTCTATTCATAAATCAAATTTGTTATTAATTTGGCGGGTAAACTTTTTTTTAATAAGAAAAATTGAAAAATATTTTTAAATGTTAGTTACTGTGTTTTGAAATTGGGCAGCCGTATTTTATGTTGGTGATGTTGACATTGCTGTTGCTGTCGTGTTTGAATATAAAAAAATAAATCCGGAATTAATATAATAATAAACTGAGAAAAAAAAACTAAAAATATGTCAATGAATAAACTTAAACATACCATTTGTAGAAAAGTCATTAAACTGTTTGTTTAACACACCTAGAGCATCAGAAGGATGCGCTCTTGAAGTTTCTTCTGCTTCCCGTATTTTTTTCATTATCAATGCATATTTTTCAAATTGCTCAGCAGTTGGCCAATTATTGGTAGACCATCTGGCAGAGTCTCCCTGAGAAAGCACAGTTCCCATAAATCGAGCATAACGCAATAACTCTTTAGCATTACAGCGTTTAGCTAAAACGTAGGCATCGACGAAATTATTATAATCGACATAATTTTCTGCTAATGTCTTTTCACATAGATTCTTGAGATCCTTAAGTTCAAATCGGTCTGCAGCTTCTAATAAAGGTTCAGCAAAGTCATCCAATTTCTTGATAGCGCCGGTGTAAACATATTCCAATAGCATACCAAATATCTCGGGACTTAGGTCCGAAAGAATAAAAATATTATTTTCCTGGATAGTTGCATTATTTAATACAAAGCCTCGTTGATCTAACACTTGTTTGTGGGCTCGAAATTCATTATCTTGTATCTTAATTGTTAAATCGCCACTGACATTTCTATTTTCATATAATTTTAAGATCCAGTCTGGTTGCTGAACATCTGCTATGAATGCAAATAGTTGTTGCAATGGAAACATGGGCTCAGAATCTAAATAAGTTACAAGTTCAATTCGCAGTGTAATTGTGTTATCAATTATTCTTTTAGGTGGTTTATAGATTGGAAATGATCCTTCCACCTTCTTCCCATAATATTCTTCATACGATGCTCTTGTAAATCCTACTATCCGGCCTTCTAGTTCCTCTTCGTCCATCCAAACCATATGGCGTCTGTAAAATCGATTCATCCTTGTATTGTGTCTATTCGAAGAATATCTCGTCCGATTGGTTCATAACGATTTTCAACAGTAAGAACGTACATAGTGACAACTACGTGATGTTTAATATCATCTTCATTGACGTTTTCAAAGAAAGCATAGATTCTTATTAAATCGTTGACATGATGGCAAAATATTAACTTGACAATCCCCTTATTTTTACCATCAAATCCATAATCAATCTCATGATCCAAAACACTTTTCTCTTTTGAATTATCGATAAAGTTGTACCTATCTACATTATTGACAACCCAGTTGTCAACTTTCTTGTGAATTATTTGATTATTTCTTTGCAGTGGCATTTTTTTTTTATCTTTTATCTGTAAAATAAATTTATAACTTTAATAATAAATTCATTTTTTAGAATATACGGCAAGCATGCATGGATTATAATAATTATGTCCGTTTTCATAAAAAAATATATCGCAAAGAATGGTGTGACATAAATATTCTTTGAACTGAATTAAAAAAATTTTTATGAAAAGTTGAAAAAAAAAATTATTTTCTTCAACGATAATTACAATTAAATAACCTTAAAAACAACGTGGATAATTCCAGCAAGCAAACATATAACCAGAAATTATGTTGTAACATAAAGATATAATAGTAAATAATAATTTTTTACCTTAATTCTGCTATATACTTTTCTATTAGTTTTTAATCAATGATTCAGAGCGTAATTTATCTGTTACTGCGTCATGCCGCCTGGGTCATGTGTTGTGCCGTACCACGTGCGTTTTATTTTAGAATAAACTGTAGACAGTGCATCAGTAGATCATAATAATAATAATTACTTATAATAATAATAATAATAATAATAATAATAAAGATCACAGTTGACAACTTTGGAGCCGCCACAAATTAGTAGTTAAATTTGGTATTTCTCAACACCTATATTTTAAAAAGTAAATTTCATTTATTGCAATCGGCAATTAATTATTTTTAATAATTACTTACCTTCATTTTTTTTTTTTAATAATTTTTATAATTGTTTTTTTTCTTTTTTATAGCAGAGAAAAAATTTAAAAACTAAGTTTATACTCGCGCCTGCGCGCGCAACGTATACTTAGAATTGGAGTTTGAGGTTACATGATGGTTAGTTTTCTTACGACAGTCTTGAGTTCAGCATCAAAACAAATTAAATAAATATATAAACTACACATTTGGGAAAAAAAATAATTTGGTAATTATTTATAATTTATTTTTTTTATACAATTTTAAAAAAACTTATCTACAATGAATTAATATTAATTTTATGAAGAGAAAAAAAAAACAGTGTAATAATTAAAATTATTCTTAAGGTTATATTGCATAAAAATTAATTTAATACATATTTAAGAATTTTAAAACAAATAAATTATCACAAAAAAAAATTGACATTTAGAAATTAAAAAAAATAAAAAATTAAATTTTTTAGAAATAATTTTTTGGAACAAATTTATTTGTTAAAGAAAATTAAAAAATTGTCAAGTGACTCCTAACTTTAATGTCATTTATATTGCTAAGAATTTATGAAAATTAATTTAGGTACCAGAAATTTGATAATTTTGTAACAAATAAATTATAAAAAAGAAATTGAAAAAAAAAAAATTAAAAATAAAATTTTTTGGAACAAATTTGTTAAACAAAATTAAAAAATAGTAAAGTTGTTACTAGGTATGGTATCATTAATAACAATTTTTTTTTTTTTTTTTTTTTTTTAAGAATTAAAATGGGTGAGAGATATAACATACACAGTCAATTGGAGCATCTTCAGTCTAAGTACATAGGAACTGGACATGCTGACACAACAAAATTCGAGTGGCTAGTCAACCAACACCGGGACTCATGTAGCTCGTTCATGGGGCACTATGACCTTTTAAGTTTCTTTGCAATTGCTGAGAATGAGTCCAAAGCCCGGGTGCGGTTTAATTTGATGGAAAAAATGCTCCAACCTTGTGGACCTCCTCCGGAAAAACCAGAAGACTAATTAATAAAATTAACATGTAAATTAATTTTTCATACCGGATTAAATTTAATTTTTTTAATAATTATAAGTATAAGACACAATAATTGTGATTTATTATGGCTCAGTTCTAATCAGTAATAATAATAAAATGGAAAATTAAATAATTTAAAAATATTCTTTATTAGATTTAAAAAAATTTAAAAATCCTTATTCTAAATTTTTAATATTATTTTTATGTTTTTTCAATGCAAGTTTAACCAAGTACTGCTGAGTTACTAAAGAAAGGTTTTCGCTGGCTTTGGTCAATGCTTCCATGGTAGATTGCATTGCATCGAGATTAATATTTCCCACAAAATAAAACTCGGAAACTTGATTTTTCTGCAAAAGACTCGCTTGCATAATTATCCCGTGATTTTTAGACTTGTGGGTTTTTGAGGGAACACTCATACAAAGTTCTTCTTCGTCGGTAGTTGGATCCAGGAACACAGTGTCCGCGTAAATACCCTTAAAAATTCATTTTTTATAATTTAATATACTCAAATTAAATTTACAAATTTTTTTTTATTAATTAAATTAATATTTAATAATCTATATTATTAAGAGAATAAGAAAAGTTTTGTATTCAGGATAGTCATATGATAAAATCGATTTTTTTTTAGAGAAATTTGGTGTCATTGCAAAAGTTTTGATTTGAATTTGTGCCTTTTCGAGGTTTCATATCATTCTCACCGATAATCAATTTATTATAAGTATTTAGGCAGCATTCAAAAATTCTCTATCTCTAAATACATAATTAAGAAATGACCTTGTGAACTATTGAGATTTTTGAAGATATAAGCTCATTCCGATGTTACACTCATCAAGACCTTTCATTTGAGTACCCACATCAATTTTTCATATATTTTATATATTTATATATATTATATATATATGTATATATGAAAAATATATCAAAAATGCATATGGGTACTCAAATTAAAGCTCTTGATGAGTGTAACATCGGGATGAGCTTATATTTTTAAAAATGTCAATAATTAAGAACTGACATTGTTATCTTGAGAGCTATTGACATTTTTTAAGATATAAGCTCATCCTGACATTCTACTTATCGAGACCTTTCATTTGAGTACCCACATCAATTTTTTCATATATTTTATATATTTATAAATATAAATATATGAAAAATATACCAAAATGCATGTGGGTACTCAAATGAAAGCTCTTGATGAGTGTAACATCGGGATGAGCTTATATCTTTAAAAACGTCAATATTCAAAAAAATACAGTGCAATTTAACAAAAATCATTATTTGCTAAAGCAAAATTTCATTTATTTATAGTTTGAAAGTCACATAGTGACTGCAATGCTGCTAGTAATAATAAATACTTACAGCACTAACTGCAGTAACGATACCATACGTCGAAATATTAGCATCAATAAGAGCCAAACTAGCAGCAGTAATAGCTGCTCCTAAACAAGATCCTCCATTGTCAAGTACCATTGCATAGATATCTATTTGAAAATTTGGATATTCATGCTAAAATAACAATAATGAGAATATTTAATTTAAAGTTTTTCAATCAATAAATAATTTTTTTATTTTGAAAAAAAAAAAAAAATTACCCTACAAACCGCTGGTTCCAGTGATCTCTGCATTATCAAGCTAAATTCTTTCTCTTCAGCATCCTGCTGATGAATTCTTCTTTTAGCGCAAGAGAAAGACGCGAATTTAAATTCGCAATATAAATTGCCATGGCAACTGTACCCAGATTTATTAGGAACATCTCGTGGATCAAAAACTGAACATATCACCTTGGTTTTTCCTAATTCTATGTACGCGGATCCTTTGGCCTGGCTGACGACTCCAGTTTTAATAACTGAAAATAAAAAAAAAATTAATATACTCATAAGAGTATAAAAAAATATCTATTTACTTTATTAATTAATAATTAAAAGACACTGAAATTAGAAGACATTTAAAAAATTTTTTTAATTTTTGTATTAAGCAATTATTATAAAAAAAAATTATTAAAAATTTACTTAAAATTTTTACTAAAATAAATAAATTTTCTTTTTATTATAAAAATATAAAAAATTTCTAGATTTTTGATAAATTAAGTATCACTAATCACAAATTAATTAAAAATAAATAAATATTTTTTGACAAACATAACCTTACATATTTTTCTAAGCTCCTGATTTTGTCTCCCATCTTTTCTATTTTTTAAAAATTTCTCCGGATTTTCTGTCTTGCTACTAGTCGAATCAACATAAATTTGATAAGGTACTGTCACTTCGGGACCATTAATTCTTCGTTGATCAACCGGCATCGTTGTCACTTAAATTAACTAGCTAAAATCAAAAATACAAGTAACAAGTAAATATTTACACGTGGTCTGTATTTAAAAAACTGAAGTTGGCGCTGCTGTCATAGTTATGGAAACCGCAAGGTAGCTCACATTTCTGGAGCTTTAATTATTTATAAAAATACAAAAATTAAATGGATTTAATTATAAAATGGACGGCATACTGGATTTATGCTATTGCTGTATTCTTTTTTATTAATTATTTAAATATTTTTTATTCAATTAGTACTCTCATTGATTATTTAGGAAGTAATTTTGAAAATGGACAATTTTTTGACTACGTCATAGGTAAATATTTTTTATAAAAAAAATTATGATACTAAAATTAGCAGAAATTAAAAAATTTTTATTTTTTTAATTAATAAAAATAAGTAAAAAAATATTTTTTAAAAATTACACTTAAAATTTTTTTTTTTATAATTTTTTTTCAATAAAAAAATTTTAGTAATTAATTTTAGTTGGAGCGGGTAGTGCTGGAATAACACTTGCAGCTAAATTAGCAGATGCAGGACATAAAGTTGTAATAATAGAAGCCGGTGGTCCAGCTCCACCATTCGCCGACATTCCCGTTCTCGCGTCTCTGTTTCAGCTGTCAAATTATGACTGGCAGTACAAAACAACTTCACAGAAGCATGCTTGCAAAGCACTAATCAACAACGTATGTATTCAAAAATTCTTTCTTTAAAATTAATTCAGTTTATTTATTTAATTATTTTTTTTTTTAATTAAATAATAATTGCAGCAAAGTCGATGGCCTATGGGAAAAATTTTAGGAGGCTCTAGCAGATTAAATTATATGGCTTATGTTGAAGGCCATCCCCAAGATTATCAATGGTTTGCTGATTATAAAAGTAAGTACTTAATTTTTTTAATAAATAATTTTTTTGACAGCTTGAATTTATTACAGGCTATAAATTAAATGGAGTAAGTGACACGCGTCATTGTTCAGAATTGTGTGATAAAATTCTGGAAGGTGCTGATGAAATTAATCAAGAGGCTATAGATAATGAATTGTTAGAATTTAGAAAAGTTCAATTGACAATGATTGATGGAGAGAGATGGAGTACTGATAGGCTGTTAAATAGGAATAAATTAACTGTTATTACTCATGCTCTTGTTAATAAGGTATTTTAATTTAAAAATTTTTAAATGTCTTAAAAAAATTAATTTCATAATGTGAAATTCAGGTTAATGGTAATTTTGCAATTTTTTTTATTGTTTGTAACAAAAAATTTGTTCTAAAAAGTATGAAAATTAATTTAGTAGATATTTGATAATATTAAAGAATTTTTTTAACAAATAAATTATGGCAAAAAAAAAGTAGAAAAAAAATTGGCATGTAGAAATTTTAAAAAATAAAAAATGCAATTTTTAAAAATAATTTTTGGATGGCATTCAAGTTAGCAATCATGTAACCATTTGTTAATTTTTTTTTTAACAAGTAGATTTTTTCCAAAAATATGAAAATTAATTTAGCAGATATTCGATAATTTTAAGAATTTTTTTCACAACTAAATTATGGCCAAATAGAGTAGAAAAAAATTGACGTAGAAATTTAAAAAAAATAAAAAATGCAATTTTTTAAAAGTAATTTTTTGGAAAAAAAACTTATTTGTTAAAAAAAAATTTTTAAATGATTGTGACTGCTAATTTTAATGTCATCTAAAAATTATTTTAAAAACATTGCATTTTTAATTTTTGCAATAATTTATATTGTTAAAAAAAATTATTAAAAATCTGATAAATTAAATTTAATTTCAATAATTTATTTTTCAGATTAAATTTGTAAATAATAAAGCAGAAGGTGTAGAATTTACCAAATGGAAAAAAAATTTCACAATTTACGGCACCAAAGGTGTAATAATTAGCGCAGGAGCCATAGGAACTCCAAAATTGCTAATGCTTTCGGGTATTGGTCCCAAAAACGACTTAAAAAAATTAAAAGTAATTATTTCTAACAAAAATACACTATCAAATTTTAATAAAATTTTTCTTTTAGATTAAAGTGATAAGTGATTTACCAGTAGGACAGAATTTGGTAGATCATATTTTAACCGGGATAGATCTAGTAGTTCTAGAAAAAAAATTATCAGTCAGTGTTCCGGAGTTACTTAAGCTGACATCGGGTTTGAATTACTTTTTCAATAAACAAGGTGAGAAATATTTATCTACTTGACAATTATTCACAAAATGTACTTAAAAAGTTATAGAAATTATTATTTGTCTAACATAAATCATAATTAATTAACAGGTCCTTGGACTTCGGCTGGCATTGAAGTTGTAGGAACACTGGCTGAAAAAAACAAACCAGATCTCCAGTTCATGGTAATTCCTGTTGGAGTGTCTCAGGACAATGGAGTGTTTTTTCGCAAGGCCATGGGGATTAAAAACAAAGTATGTAATTTTTAATTAATTAAAATGACATTAAAGTTAGCAGTCACTTGATAATTTTTTAATTTTATTTAAAAAATTATTGTTAAAAAATTGCATTTTTAATTTCTACATCTCAATTTACTTCCTAATTTTTTTTTTTTGCCTCAAATATCTGCTAAATTAATTTTCAATCTATTAAATTAAGCCAGTAATCAATTCCTCAATTTTATTTAAAGGTATTTGCCGAATATTTTGCTCCTTTGGCATTTAAGACAGCAGTAACGATAGCTCCAGTTTTACTGCATCCCAAAAGTACTGGAGAAGTCAAGCTGAAGACTGCAGACCCTTCTGATGACCTTGAAATTAATCCCAATTATTTAAGCCACCCAGATGACATATCTATTTTAATTAAAGGTATTATTAAAATATACCAGCAATAATTTTAATTATTAAAGAAAAAATTTTTTTTCTAGGTTTAAAATTGGTCTCCAAGCTGGTGAATACCGGAGCAATGAAAACTCTAGGAGCCTCATTGTACACAAGACCCTTTCCAGGATGTGAGGGTATAAAATTTGGCACGGACAATTATTGGAGGTGTTATGTACAGCAATTAACGCTGACTTCATACCATCCCGCTGGGACTTGCAAACTTGGAAGTGTAGTAGACAATTCATTCAGGTAATATTAAATGTATTAATTAGAAAAAATATTCTATACACTCTTACAACATTTATACATTTGCTTATTTAGCAATTAATATTATTTAAAATAACGATAATTATTTACAATTAAGGTCCAACCTATTTTTGGCCATATCGAGGTGAAAAATTAACATTTTTTTTTATTTATTCTGCTTGTTTTCACGACGAATTTATGATAAAAAATGAATTTATGAAAGAAAAAAATAAAGATTTCTATAATTTTTTTGCCTTCAATAATTGGAAAAAATTTTGGCTCTTATGTTTTTGGATAAAATTTCTATTTTATCTTTTATTGATATATATTTTTTTGAAAAATACGTAAAAAAAAAACGAATTGAAAAAAAAAATTGAATCACAATTTTCTAAAAAATTTATCAATTTTTTTGAAAATTTGTTAAAATTTCGATCAACTTCTGTTTTTTAAATTGTTCATTTTTTTTATGTATTTTTCAAAAAAAAAATATATATATAAATAAAATCAATTAAAAATTTCGTTAAAAAAAATGAAATTTATATTTTATCTTTGTTTGATGGTTTTGATATATATTTTTTTGAAAATTTATTAAAATTGTGATAGATTTTTTTCTAAATTAATCATTTTTTTTTATACATTTTTCAAAAAAAAAAAAAAAAAAAAAAAAGTTCATTTTTTTATGTATTTTCAAAAAAAAAAATATATATATAAATAAAATCAATTAAAAATTTCGTTAAAAAAAATGAAATTTATATTTTATCTTTGTTTGATGGTTTTGATATATATTTTTTTGAAAATTTATTAAAATTGTGATAGATTTTTTTCTAAATTAATCATTTTTTTTTATACATTTTCTAAAAAAAAAAAAAAAAAAAAAAAAACAATAAAAATTTCGTCCAAAAAAATAAAAATAAAAATAGTGGCCCCCACTTGTAAATAATTACCAAAATAATTCCCCTCGAATAAGGCAATAGCTGACTAAGTTATAATAATTATTACAGAATTCTGGGTACAAAAAATTTATTCGTAGTAGATGCTTCTATACTACCCTCATTACCGAGTGGTAACATAAATGCAGCAGTAATGATGATTGCCTCAAAAGCGGCTGATTTAATAAATAAATCGATGAGCGAGCTCAATCAAACTAGAAATTATTTTTGTCGGAAAAGTAACTACGTTAGTGATATATTTAATTTGCCTAATGTATGTCTCAAGTCCGCTTAAATTAATAAAATAAAAAATAAATTTTTAAAGGATTAATTACTAGAAAATTAACGAGTATTGCGAGAGCGATTGTGATAATGTCGTTGATTTCTGTGATCATTTTTGTGGTGTTGGTTGCGGTGTGAGCGGTCCTGCCTGTCTCGATCACGCTCGCGTTCTCTGTCGCGGTTGTAAGGGTGACTACGGCCACGTCGATTGTCGTCTTTCGAGGGAAAATTGTTCATTTGGCTGGGGTACATGCCCATCCCGGGAGGCGTGAACATAGGAAGCATGTTTCGGGCTATGTTGTACGCTATTGAATTCTCCAGCGGCTGGTTTCCAAACTGCAGGACGTTGTTGTCATTGCTGAACTTGTTCACGACACCCTTCGGGTCGTTCACCTGGCGGTTCTTGAGCATCAGAGCGCGGTTGAACAGCGTTGTCCCTTCGAATAAATTTAAAGCGTAAGGTACCGAGACCATGTGCTTAAATGTTACAAAGCCAAATGATTTTTGGCTACCATCGCGGTCTTTTGGGATGTTTACCTTTTCCAGAGGTCCTGCCTACAAATAAAATTAAATTAATAAAGCATTCAATGCTGACATCAATTATAGTAATTAATTAATAACTTACTTGTATAAATAATTCGTATAATAAATCTTCAGTGCATTTGTTACTCAAATTTCCACACCAAATTGTGCGTGAATCTTCGTCCATTTTTGTTTTAAATTTTATCTTCTAAAATAACAATAATATTTAACAAAAAAATAACCTTATTGTTTTTTGTAGTTGTGTATTTATGTTTATAGCCTCAATAAACACACTACGTGTCTTTTGTTTGTAAGGTTAAGCAGGAACTTGTATTGCTTCTACGAACATTCCTCTATTTATAACTTTAGGAGCGGAGAAAAGCCATTTTTTAATTTGGTTGTATTGGTAACACTGTCATAAAGTACTTTATAATAATACTGAAGTTAGCCGTCAGCTGCCAATTTTAAAAATTTTTTTAACAAATCAATTACAATAAAGAAATTCTTTTAAAAATTTCCACTTGTAATTTTTATTAATTTTCATATGTGAAATTTTTTAATTAAATTTTTTTTTTATAATAATTTAAACAATACTAAAGTTAGCCGACGTTTTTATTTTTTTTAATAATTAAATTAAAACAGAAAAATATTTTTTTAAAATTGTACTGATAGTTTTTTAAGTTTTTTACAAATGAAAATTTTTTTTTATTATTTTGTAACAATTTTTTAAATAAATAAAAAAGAAAATTCTAAAAATTTTTAATTTCTGTCAACTTCAGTGTCATTTTTATTTACATGTCTTCTTTTACTTAAATAATTAATTTAAGGTACCAAAGGGTTCATAAAAAATAATTAGTTGTTTACCTGGAGAATAAAATAAATTTAATTCTATTCTCTTGGCTTTATTTTTTATACACTCGCGTGTACAGCCTCCATTTTAGATGTCATTGTCATGTTTGCCTCCTGGTGGACAATCCGCAAACTAATTCTATTTGTCTATAATAATTTTATACTAACGTGATTTTTAGACTCTCGGAAAATGAGAGTATAAAATTAATTTATTGCTATATTATTAAATATAATTTTCAAGTATTTATCAACTTAATAATCATAAATAATTTTTTTATTTGCACAGTAAATTTTTTTTTTTTTATATTTTTATATTTCCAATAAATAAATTACTTAAATATTTTTAAAACCTCAAATTTTTGCTCTAATTTTTTATTATCAGAAATATTAAAATTTAATGAAAATTAATCTAGCCGACATTTAAAAATTAGAATTATTTTTAATTGAAAAAATCATTACAGAAAAATAAAAAAAAAATTTTCATTTGTGTAAAAAACTGTAAAAACTATAAGTGCAATTTTAAAAAAATATTTTTTAGTTCCAATTTAATAAATGATAAATAAAAAAATTAAAAACGTCGGCTAACTTTAATATTATAAAATTTAATTTTAAAAATATAAAATAATCAACTGGATAAAATTACTAGTTTTGTAAAGTATAATAATAACAATAATAATAATCATAATAATAATAATAATAATAGGTTAAGAAAAAACTAATTCTTTGACAAATTTCCGATTTGATAAAAATTTCTGAATGCTTCCACCAGATGACAGATGACGGGTGGCGCGCGCGCATCTCAAGTTGACGCTTGCCGCCAAATGACCGGCATTTTATTATTCCAAAGTTTACTCGCGGATTGCTCATCGGTGATTAAATCACAAGTACTAAGTAATTCACCAGGATAATATTCCACCATAAAAAGATAACGCGGGCGAATAAATCCGAGGATTACAAGGTAAATATAACATTTAATAACTATTGTAACATGATAAAAAAATTACGCCATTGTTGGTGAGAATAATATGTGCGCGTGCGCTAATAATTTTCCCTTGTCCATTTTAGCTGGTGGCTGGTGATCTCGTCGTCTCGTTCTTTCGTCGTTGTTAGCGGCAACGGTTACGCCGTTTAGCGATCGATTTCTCATATTTAATCGCTTAAAAGCATGGTAATTTCGGTGTTATTTAGCATTTTATTATCGCTCAAAGCTATTAATTAATGACAGTTAATTATTTTAATCAAATTTCCGAAGTTGCGTAACGTTAATACCGTTTATTTAACAGTTTAATTAAACATCTAACCAAAGCCACGTGTTCCTCGTGTCCTGACATTTTTTATCTACAAGTCAGGTAATCGTTACTTCATTTACTCGCTCCGTTTTTTTTACAATCTTTTAAACTATTTTTTATCGTTAATTACTTTTTAACAAGAGCAGTTTTTATTCATTATTACCCGGCTCGGCAATCGATTCTTTGTTGCATCCTACTGCGTATTTCAATACATTCGTTGTTAATTTCATTTACAATCGATATTTCATTAAACATTTGTTGTTTAGTAATCCGATAAATTATTATTTTCACAATAATTGATAATATTTTTTTTTTTTTTTTTTTTTGCTTAGTCAGGTATGCTGATACACTATGGCAGCGGGACGAGAGAGGAAGACAGAGTTTGTAGAAGGATGGTATCTTGGGCACACTCTTGGGGAAGGAGCCTATGGGGAGTAAGTAACCATAACAAGTTTTAATTATATTGCATTCATCGATAAAATAAACTGGTATCCAGCGTCGCCGATTATTACGATACGCGATAAGTTATGTCTATTTTTACAAATAAATTTAGGTAATTGATAAAGTTTAGAGGTCAAGATCTTATAACAAGCCTGGGAATAAATTTAATAAAGAGTCTTGCTGTTATTAATTTGTTACAGATAAATTAATTTTTTTTTAGTGTGTCTGAATTAAACTTTATATTTTATTTATTAAATAATTTTTTTTTAATGATACTGAAATTGATGAAAATTAGATTAGCTGATATCTAAATATTTTTATAATTTTTTTTATTAAATTTTTTTATTGAAAAAATTAAAGGAAAAAAATTTTACATGTCGAAGATTTTTAAAATTACACGTCTAATTTTTCTTTAACTATTTTTTTTAATACTTATTTAATTAATTAAAATAATAAAAAATTGTTGAAAGTTTGCTAATTTTAGTATTAATTTAAATTGAGACATATTTGATAATTTTTAGAAATTTTTTAATAAATAAATTATAGCAAGAAAAATTTATTTAAAAAATTCCATATATTTAGAAGCTCTTAAAAATTATAAATGCATTTTTTTTAAATGTTTTACTAGACCTGGCTTATTTGAAAAAAATAAAAAAAATTGTCATGGCTCCTAACTTCAGATAAAAATTTTTAGAATTCTTTTAATTCAGAAAATTTAACAAAACAACATTTTATGTGTAAAAAATAAAAAAAAAAAACCATAAATGAAATTTAAAAAAATAATTTTAGTTCCAATTTAATAAATGGAGTAAAATTAAAAAATCATTTTTTCAAATATAAATTTTTTTTAAATTAATTAATTATAAAACCTCCAAAAAAAAAAAAATCATTTTAGTTTTAATTTAATAAATGAAGCAAAATAAAAAAATTATTTTTTCCAATGCAAATATTTTTAAAATTAATTAATTATAAATTTTAGAAAAAAAAAAAAACAATTATTAAAAAAATAAACTAAATTTTTTAGAGTAAAATTGGTAATAAACAAATCAACCGGTGAAGCAGTTGCCATGAAGATGATAGACTTGAAGAAGCATCCAGATGCCAGACAAAGTACCCACAAAGAAACAACCGTGCACCGCATGTTGTCAAACCCGCACATAATCCGTTACTTCGGGCAGCGCAGCGAGCCGAACATGGAGTACATATTCCTGGAGTATGCCTCCGGCGGCGAATTATTCGACAGAATAGAGCCGGACGTGGGTATGCCGATGGCAGAAGCCCAGAAGTACTTCCGCCAGCTGATGACCGCCGTGGAGTACTTGCACTGTCGAGGAGTCGCGCACCGCGACCTCAAGCCCGAGAACTTGCTTCTGGACGAGAAAGACAACCTAAAGGTGACCGACTTTGGGATGGCGACAGTCTACCGGCTGCAGGGTAAAGAGCGTTGCCTGGAAAAGCGCTGTGGGACGCTTCCCTATGTAGCTCCGGAGGTTCTGGTCAAACCTTATCACGCTGAGCCGGCAGATATCTGGTCCTGCGGGATCATCCTCGTCGCTCTCCTCGCCGGTGGTAAGATTTGAAAAAAAATTATTTTTTTTTATTAAAAATTTAATCTGCAATTTGCATGCTCCAGTCTAATCATCCATCTGTGCACAGAGCTGCCGTGGGACGAGGCAGACGTGAACTGTCCGGAGTACAAAGCCTGGAGGGAGGCGCAGCACCTCGAGCTGACTCCTTGGAAGAAGATTGACAACACTTCTTTGAGTTTAATTTGTAAAATTCTCACTCACTCTCCCTCTTCAAGGATAAAAATTCAAGATATTAAATTGCACCGTTGGTACCTGAATGATTTAGATAAAGGTACTATTTAAATTAATTTTTTTTTTTTTTTATTATTTATTATTAATTGATATTTTAGACAATGCAGCTTAGTCATAAATCTGAAGAAGAGCCATTGTTTGCGAAGTCAGGTACTGAGTGACTCTGAGCATAATTAAAGTCTCAGGGGTACTTGGTATCTAACTCCGAGAACACTTTCAGTCAACAACTGTGTAAACTTTAAGTGTAGTTATTTTTTTTTTTTTTTTTTTCAGGATTTAATATTACGGATCTCGAGAGTAATATTAAAGTAAAAGTAAAAAGGCTTTTGTCTTTCCTTTGGTAATACAGCTCTATGACTGTAATTGATATTCATAAAGCTAGATTACCAAAGCAAAGTACATAAGCCAAGGCATCATGACTCATATATATATATATTTATACAATATAATTAAATAATAGTTGATCGTTATAATATTTTATTTTGTCCATCGTACTGTCTTTGGTCATCTAGCTGTATGATTGTTATTAATTCATAAAGCTAGAATACCGAAGTAAGAACGTTGGATATTTTCGCCTTTATTTTATTATTTTATTTTATTTATTTTTTTTATTACTAAAACAAAAGACCCAATTATTGACACTTGTAATTTTTATTTTAATTAAAAAAGATCAATAATTTAAGAAATATAATTTTTTTTTTATTAAAAAAATTGATAAATGTAATTTTTTAATTTAAAATTTTAAGATGATTTTTTTTAGAAAATTTTTTTTTAAGATTAAAATTGCAAGTGTCAATAATTATTTTTTTTTTTTTTTTTTATTTATTAGTTATTTTTTATCGCAGAAATTTTAAACCGCGAAGCTGAAGCGGAAAGAAGAGCCAAATTCAAACGTTACAGTGACGAAGATTTTAATCGTGTTTGTCTCTCCCAACCGGAGTTCCCGAGCGTAAATTCTTCGGTCCGCATAAACCTGGACGAGCGACCTGGGTTCTCGTTTTCGCAGCCAGCTGCTTTAGAAGACTTGCTTTTGTCCACGCAACCGGTTCAAAATACTCAATCAACCCAAAACTCGTTCCAGAAGCTGGTCAGGCGTATGACCAGGTTCTTTGTTAAGACTGATTGTGATGATACCGTCACTCGGCTTGTTGATGCCTTTAAAAAACATAATTATACTTACCGCATTCACGAAGCTGGAATTGTAAGTTTAATTAATTTAAATTATTTTTTCTATCAAAATTTGTTTAACAGATAAATTATGACAAAAAAAAATTATAAATGATATTTTTTAAAAATGATTTTTTTAGAAAAAATTTATTTGTTGAATGAAATTAAAAAAATTATTTAATGTAATTTTTGTTTTTAATTTATAAAAATTAATATTAAATTTATTAATTTTCAGGTGACAATTTCGACGGTAGATAGAAGGAAAATGCCGCTAGTTTTCAAGGCAAACATCGTCGAAATGGATAGTCAAATTCTAGTAGACTTCAGATTGTCTAAAGGTGATGGTTTGGAGTTTAAGCGTCGCTTTTTATTAATAAAAGAAGCCCTCGATGATGTTATTGTTAAGGGACCAGTAACTTGGCCTCTGGCCGTAGCAACCCAGTCGATGCCATAATTAATAAAAAAATCTTCAAATTAATTAATTAATTTAATCTCAAGTGGAAAAAAAAAGTATTAAAATTAAAAAATTTTTTCTACCGATGTATATATTTTTTTAATAATGCGCTGTTATATAATAATAATATCAATTACAAATTTATTGTATATTGAAATAATATTTATTTACACTTCAAATTCATTTTGTATAATTAATTGTACCATAAAAATTCCTTACACCAAAAGCGTGGGCAAAGGTTTCTTTCCAGGCCAAGCTTCCTTGGCGTATTTCTTCTTCTTGGGCTCGTGAGCAAGGGCTTCAGCAGTGGCTGGAGCCTCGGGGACCGGAGGAGCGACGTCTTGCTGGATCTGGGCTGGAGTCATGTCCACGTCAGGTGCGGGGTTCGGTAGCGCGATACCGAGACGCGAAGTCACAGAAGTCAATGAGGAATAAGGATTATTGTTAACTGAAGGCGTGTATTGCTCCGGAGGCAAATCTTGGTACAAGTGGGACGTATTTATCGGCTGGAAGTGCTTCATATGGTGATGATGGTGCTGGTGGTTGTCGTCGGACAAGGATATTAGTCCTCCTTCTAGTCGCATTCTTTTACTAGGAACCACTGTTGTTTGCACGAGGTTACGGAAACGTCCCACTGAAGGGTCCACGTCCTCTGGGTTGATTACTTCTTCATCGTCGTTAAATGTTATTCCTTTTTTCTTGCGCTTGCGGTTTGATTTGTGGACATCGTCGTCGGTTATTCCTAACATTGATATTCTTCTATTGTGCGCTGTGTTGAATTCTGTTAAATTCTGAAATTTAATTTTTATTTTTTTATAAATTATATTTTTTATGATACTTAATTTAACATACATCTAAAAATTTTTTAATAAATAAATTATAATTCTCATGCGGTACTTATATTTATTTCTAAGGAAGAGGTAATTTTGTTTTTATTTTTGAAATATTTAAATATGACACTACAATTGATAAAATATTTTAAGAATTTTTTTAAAAAACAAGTTATAGCAAAAAAATTTTGTATTTAGAAGTTGTAAAAAATTATTTAAAAATAATTTTCTGTACTTAATTTTTTTTATCAAAAAATAGTCAAGTATCTACTAGTTTAAAGGGGAAACATCACCCCAGAAATCCAAGCAATTTTAATAATTGTCACATGTTCGATAATTTTAGTATTATTATTTTTTAATTAGTACTTACATCAAGCTCCGTTTCAGTTTCAGGCAATCCAAGCAACCCACCAGCATCAACGTCATCAGAAGATTTTTCTAATTCTTCCATTATCGTTCTCGATCCCGTTTGTGGTCTCTCTCTGATAATATAATAACGCGTTGATGCTCCGAAATGAAATGTACTATCAATTGGCAATTGAGTTGGTTTATTTCCTTCTAGTCTTAAACTTCCAATGTAAGTTCCATGGGCTAAACAATTTAAATAATGTCATTTTATTAGTAATCAATTTTAATTACGTCAATTATCAAGCAGTTAATATATTTCCCAAGCACTTATTCTTGCTACTAGAAAAATTTTTTATAAAAAAATTTTATAATTTTTTTTTTTGGTAAAAAAAATTGAAACAGATAAAAATATTTATATATTTAATAACCTTTTTGGAGTAATTATTATGACATTAAAGTTAATAGTCACTTAACCATTTTTTAATTATTTTTAACAAATTTGCACCAAAAAATTACATTTTTTTCAAAATTAAATGTCAATTTTTTTTATACTAAAATTAGCAGATTTTTGACAATTTTTGATTTGTTCATTAAAAAAAAAAAAAAAAAAAAAAAAAAAAAAAATTGCACTTATTGTTTTATAATTTGATTAAATAAAAAAATTCTAAAAATTTTCAGATGACTAATTTAATATGAAAATGAAGTTATCCGACATTTCAAAATTTTTTATTGAAAAAATTTCAATCAAACAATTAAAAAAAAATTTGTCACCTGTAAAAAACTTGAAAAACTACAAGTGCAATTTTTTTAAAAATATCTTTTTAGTTGTAATTTAATTAATAATAAAAAAAATCAAAAATTTTTACACGTCTGCTAACTTCAGTGTAATAATTTAATTTTCATCAATTTTTTTTTTGGCATAATTTTTTATAAGAGCAGCAATATTTTTTAAACTCAGAAAATTTTTAGCACAAATTTACCTCATACAATAAATATTAAGTGAATAAATAAAATAAAAAGACTTACTGCTTCCTAGATCAACCAAAAAAGCTCTGTTTAAATGTTTGTGATAAACAAGAGCCGCATGAACACGAGAACATGACGCATGATCTATGCAAAAGTCATTCAGCTGTTGATTCCGGCCAAATAAATAACATTTCTTCTCATCTACCATCAGTTTCTACAAGCATTTGTCTAACTTAATAATATGTTCATTTATTTTTCACCTATTTTAAATAATAAATAAATAAACATCAATTGTTTTTACCTGAATCAACTTGTCACCTTTCAGAACGTCCAAGTGCAAACCTACCGGCGGTTTTCCGGCCCTGAAAATTATTTTAATAAGTATTTTTTATAAAATATTTGCTAATTCTACCAAACCTATCAATTTTTAATTAATTAATAATAATTTTAACAACTAATAAAAAAAATAATATAAATAAACAATTATTTACCAGCTAGGAACTTCATAGTGATTAGCCATATTAAAATTATTTCCAAATAAACTCAATCTTGCTCCATTCAACGTTCAACCATTATACCCCAGTATGAAAAATTTTCTCTAATTAAAATATAAAACCAACTTAAAATTCTCAAAAGATTATTTCATTATTTTATTGACTTGAGAAATTAAAATGGCGGACAGTGGGGGAGCTACTGTCGAATTATTTACAAATACAATTACTATATACATGCGTTCTCAGCGTTCTCCTTCTCAGATATTTAATATATCATACATATTTTGGGCATGTGCATATATGTGTATATTTATATACATGCATAATATATGTCTGTAATAACCTATAAAAATAATAATTGTTTAGAAGCTACCAAGAAACCATCTCAGTCACCTAGTTTTTAAAAAAAAAAAATTGTTGAGAGTTTATCTAGTGCTTTAATAGTTAAAATTCATTTTAATTATTGTTTAAACAATCAGTGAAAGGTTAATTATTTACTTGTGCAGTTTACCTGCTAAAATTAATTGTTTAACAATAATTAACATTCTTGGTAAAGTATTTTTTTAATTACCTATTTAAGAAAATTTATTTTTTTTTATCATGTGGTTTATAAATTAATTGTCAATAAAATTATTTTATAATACAGCTGATGCTGACAATTTTATTTTACAATTTATCATGAAAAATAATTATATAAAATTTTTGTAAGTAACCTAAATATTTCTTATTCATTAATTTTATATAAAAATAAAATTGACAGCAAATATTTTTATTAATTATTTTTCAAATAAAATTTTGTTGAAATAATTAAAAATCAAAAAATTAATTATTTAAAATTTTTTACTCAATAATTTTTTAATTTATTTTAAATAAAAAATAATGTCATTAAAGTTAGCGGACGTTCTAAATTTTTTGATGTGTTTTTTAATAATCAAATTAGAACAAAAAAATTTTTTTTAAAATTGCACTTACAGTTTTTGAAGTTTTTTAGACGTGCAATTTTTTTTTTTTTTTTATTTTTTTGTAATGATTTTTTTAATAAAAAAGAAATTATAAAACCTTTTAAATGTCGGCTAACTTAATTTTCATTAAAAAATAACATTAATATAAAAATAAAATTAACAGCTAAAATCTTTGTTAATTATTTTTTAAATAAAATTTAATTGAAATAATTAAAAATCAAAATATTAATTATATAAAATTTTTTACTCAATAATTTTTTAATTTATTTTAAATAAAAAATAATAATATAAAAAAAAAAATTGACAGTAAAAATTTTTGTTAATTCTTTTTCAAATAAAATTTTCTTAAAATAATTAAAAATCAAAATATTTTTAAAATAAAAAATAGATCAGTTGATTAAAAAAAAAAAAAAAAAAAAAAAAAAAAATGAATCTGACCTTGTTAAATAAAATGCAATAAAAATAGTTACCTAAGCAAAGGCGTCACAATAAATGATACCTCAAGGTTAATTTTATTATTATTATAAAAAAAATATATTTATTTTAGGTGTGTGTGCGCAAATAATGAATTAAAAACAACCAACCTAAAATAAAATGCAATGGAGTCCAGCTGCGATCCTTACGAGCAGCGTTTGCTGTCAGTGTTCGAGAGTTGTTTGGAAAAAGGTGAGTCCGAGTTGACGGAAAAAGGACTTCGAAATCTTTGCGACAAGCTCCAATTAGAAGAACGCGGAAGCGAGTTAATCTCAAATTTACTGAACAAAAATCCCGGAAAAAATGTGTATAAAATATCCTTCGAGGCGTTCCGCAATGGGCTGCTGACCCTCTTGGACTCTCAAGAAGAAGACAAAGTAATCGAAAGTTCCATTTTAAAGCGGGTGAACGCGCGACAATTGGGAGTCGGCAACGGCGACTTGAACATGCTTTTGAAGAACTCGATCAGCGACGGGTCAGTTAAGAGGATGTTGGAGCAGATTTTCCACAAGCTGGACAGCGACGAAGACGGACTGATAACATTTAGCGAGTTTCTGATGTTATTTCAGAGCAACTGCAGCCTAGAAGACGGTTCTTTGGGCACAGAGTGGAGCGAGGGAGAAGAAGGCTGCAAGAGCAGCTTCACCATGCTGGGTCCAGATCACACTGGCTTTATAGACCGCCGCAGTGTCATCAGTCTCTGGCAATTAGCCGGTGTCAGTGACGCGATAGTCCTGCTAAATGACCTGGCAATAAGCGCGGCTGGTAATATTAATTTATCTGAATTAATGAGTGTCCTTACTCAAGAATTGCAGAGCCTAGCTCACGAGCCTAAAGGCTCCGAGATCACCAACACACACTTGGACATCCTGAGAGCGACTTTGGTGCTTTATCAGGAAGAAGTCCGGTCTATTAATGTGCTGGTGGACCAGCTGACTGGTGAAAGAGACAAGCTTAAAGTAGACGTAGCTGAAGCTAATGAAAGAGCCAACATTCTTGCTCAGGAAATTGACGAGAACCACGCAAAGCTCGAGAAGTCTCGCAATGAGCAGATCAAACTTATCGAGTCTCGGCATGGAGAAGTAATTAAAGATCTTACCTTGCAGCACGTCTCAGAAAGAGAAGCCCAGCTTGCTAATTTGAAGTTGCTCAATGAACAGCTTCAAGCTTGTCAGCAAGAGGAGCAAGTTTTAAGAATCAAACTCGCAGAGGCGTTGAATGAAAATCAGAGTTTGGAAGTTGATAATCAAAATTTGAACGATCAAATAGATAAATTGAAAGTTTCTAATGGTCAATTGTTGATCCAGGTCCAGGCGCTAGCAGCAGAGTGTGATGAAGCTGAGCACTGTGATGATAGGGAGAGCGAGCAGGTTATTTCGTTGGTGGACAGGATTAAGAAGCTCCAGGATGAATCTTCTTTGTTGAGAGATCAAAATGATGAACTTACTTCGGAGATAGAGCTGTTGAAGTCGAGGTTCAGTGATAAAATAAGCAAATTTTCCAGCATGAGCAGTGAAGATAATTCCACTGACTATGAACCTTTGGGAAAAGTCCCGGAGTTTAAAAAGGAAGATAAATTGTCTTTGCCGAATACGATAGCAGGGATTATAAATGACTTGAAGAGTATTAGCATTGACAAGGCTTTGGATTTTAATTCCGATTTATTGCAGAGGAATATCTCGGAGATTATTAATGAATTGGAGGGACATTTGGATAAAGTTCTGGATAAGGATGATAAAAATCTGGAAGCTAAAGAAGAGAAGACGAGTTCTTTGAGGGATTTTGTTGTTTCTAAAAGCAAGAGGAGTCTTATGTCTTCTGAAGAGTCGATTGGTAAAAAATTGCGGGATTATCCGCCTAGAAAGGGTGAGTTTGATAGAATTCTAACTAGGAGTGCTTCAGTGAGTGTTGATGTCACTGATGGAAATGAGGAGACGCTGAGGAGAGACAGGGACAGACTGAGTAACTTACTAGCGGAGCAGGAAGCTAAATACAATTGTGAGAAGAAACGGCTTGAGGAGCAGTGCAAGAAATTGGAGACTGATTTAGAGCTTCTGAGAAGTGAGTATTATTCTTGTGAAGACTACTGGGAGAATAAGTTGGAAGAAGAGCGGGGGATTATGGAACAGGAGCAGAAGATCAGTGATGATAAGTTGACTGAGTTGATTAATAAAATTGCTGAGTATGAAGAGCAATTTAGTGGGGCGGAAAAAAAGGGAAGATTGTCGCCAATTGAGGAAAAGTTTACGCTAGAGCAGTCTTACACTGAGCTAGAGGACGAGTTTGATGAGTTCAGAAGAGAAATGCAGGAAGCGTTGGATGAAAAGGAGACTGAGATTAATTTTGTTAAGGAACAGCTGAAGAAAAAAGAGTCCGTTGATGCTGGGGTCCAGGTTGAGGAGGATAAAAATAAAAGGTTTAGTTTCTACGGTCAGGCTTCCAAGTTCGAGCCGGGGAAATTGAATAAAATTAACGAGGATTGCTTTTGTAGAGACTCGGGGATGCAGGAGGCGGAATTGCAGAGGTTGTTGCAGAAAAAGACCCAGAGCGCGCATTTGAAGTGCACGAGTCTGATGAAGCAGAAGGAGTGCCTTGTTAAGGAGATCATGGAGCTCCAGAATTTTAGGAATTGTCATGTGTATCCGAATGATGGACAGGGAAAGGTTGATATGAATTTTATTAAGAGTTTGATGACCAAGGTTCAGGTGCTAGAGGGAAAGAAGAAGAGCTTGCAGGTCAGTCTCAAGCATCAGAAGCAGTACACGGACAAGGTTATTGAGTGCATTTGGAAGCAGCATTTTAGTGAACGTGCTAGTCTTCAGCATGTTCTTAAGGAGACTCAGGGGTCGCTTAAGCAGTATCTTGAGGTTAATAAAATTCAGATGCAGAAACTTGCTAAGGCCGATTTGTTAATCAAGGATTTGTATGTGGAAAATGCCCATCTTAAGGCTAAGGTTGATAGGCTTTGTGAGAGGTGTGTTATGCTCGAGAATTCTGAAGCCAGGTCCACTTCTGTATGACCTTGGGTTGTTGGATTGTGGGGGTGAAGGTTAGTTTTAAGGTACATTCCGATGTCTTGCACTTGAAGATTATATATTTTTTGGATATATATTTTTATAGTGATTGATTATTTGTAATTGTAACTTTGATTTATTAATTATTCTACTGTGGAAAAATTTATTTTGTAAAAAATTAGATAAGAAATTAATTTGTAAAAAGTTTTATTTGTTAGCCGAAGAAATGAAAATTTTTGTCGGTAATTTTTTTGGTGAAAAAAATTTCTTTGATTTGAAAAAAAAAAAAAATTATTTTTTTTTTTTTTTAGACAATTTTCATTGAAAATTTTTTTTTCTAAATCTAGAAATATTTTTGATAAATATTTACAAGTGGGGTCAACCATTTTCATTTTCATTCTTTTGAACGAAATTTCTATTTGATTTTATTGATATATAATTAAAAAAAAAGCGTTGATAATCATGATTTTAACAAATTTTCAAAAAAATTTATTAATTTTTTTTTAATTGCTCATTTTTTTTATGTACTTTAACAAAAGTATATTAAAAACATCAAAAAAAGATAAAATAAAAATTTTATCCAAAAAAATAAGAGCAAAAGTTTTTTCCAACTTTGAAGGCAAAAAAGCTATCGAAATCTTTTTTTTTTTCACGACATTTTTTATCATAAATGCGCCGTAAAAACAAAAAGAATAAAAAAAAAATTAAAAATGTCCATTTTTCACCTAGTTATGGCCCAAAAAAGAGTTGACCTCACTTGTAAATAATTACCATTTTTTTTTAACAAGAAAATTATGTAGAAAAATTTTTGCTTCTCCAATGAAGAAATAAAATTTTTTTATAAATTAATTTCTTCTTAAATTGCTTATTTTTTACAAAATAAATTTTTTTTTTTTCAGTGTAATAGTATTAATGTATTTATAAATTGAGCAATTTAACTGGTGATTATTATTTTGATTTGTTAATTGACATTAAAATTTTAATTCTTAATTTCTTATAATTTTTTTTTTTTATATAATTTTTCGGTGGATTTTTGAAGAAAGCTTTATAATTTTTTTTTGAAGAAATTAAAAATTAAAAAAATACTAGATAATTTTTTTTTAATTAAAAAAATTAGTCAATTAACAAAAAAAAAATCACCTTATGACTTGTCGATGGTATTTATATATAATAATGTGCCGTGATGGTATCCGTAATGCGATATAATTCTAAATATTGTTAATTAATAATTAAATTTATACCGCTGCCATATTATTTGTTAACATGGCTAAACAATAATCTCACGCCTTGTTGATAAAAAAAAAATAGTTATATTGATACAGTTAATCGGTGCTGTTTAAGATTTTTTAACAATAAAAAAACTAATTGCCTTGATATACTTTAAGATGTAATTCCACCTTATTCCAGCCGTTTGATAATTATAATTAAAATGTATTGATAAATAATTACATTTTTTTTTTTCGACTTAAAAATTTTTTAAAACTATTTTGATACATTCTATGTGATTTATTATGAACAAATGTATATTTAATTTAATAAATTTATAAATTATAATTGTAAACAAATATTTGTTAAAAATGTATTTCACGTTAGCCAAAGAGGTGAAAAAATAATTAAAATAACAGTAGAGTTAATTAATTATCTGTACATAGATTAAGTTGTAGATTAATTAATTAATTTAACAAAATATGTAAAAATTTATCACATCACGTTAATGTTAAAATAAAAATTTTTGGAGTATTAAAAATATTTAGACTGATTAATGTGTTATACATTTTATTTACACTACTTTAATTAAATACTTATTATTACGGGTATAAATGCAATAAAATATTTTTGCTTTAAACACATTTTTAACATTAATTATTTAGTAATGAAAAAGTTTATATTATAAACTATACAACTTAATTAAATAATGACAGAAAAGCGAAGTTTATGCATTTACAGTAATAATATTTAAAATAATAATTACAATAATAAAGTAAATAATCGTATTCAGTAATAATTATGCATCTGTTTTCTTCTAATTACATTGATAAAGTTCATACAAAATATTATTTTTCTTAATTAATAATCTATTTTTTATAACACATTTATTGTTAATTCACTCATTACTAAAACTCTAAATAAATTTATTAATTAAGTTAATTTAAAGTGATGTAATGTAATGAAAACAACTTCGTATTATGATCTTTAATATTATTATTATTATCGGTAGTAGTAGTAATTATGCAATTTATTTGTTTACCTTTGAGATTTATTTTTTTAATCCCTTTAAAAATTGTTTTTTTTTTTTTTCATTTTTCATTTTTTTAGAACCATTTGTTAATTCAATGATTTTTTTAATGGGCTGCCGAGCCTCATTTCTTGGTTTCGATGATTGCAAGTGGTGTTCCACGGTCTTTGCCACGAAGTTTCATGCCAAGTACTTTTTCTATCTTTCCAATTACCATTTGGTTTGGTATTCCACGCCCTGCTTCGTAGTCGTTGATAACTTGTGCTTTTTCATTAACTTTCTGTTGACAGTAATTTTATTTTTTTTTTTTTTTATATATTAGTACCCAGAATTATTAAAACTTTTTTTTTTACAATTATTAAAAATTTAAATAATTACTAGCAACCTTGCAGTCACTATGTGACTGCCGTGACTTGTGAACTATAATTAAATAAAATTTTGCTTTATTAAATAATGACTTTTGTTAAATTGCACTGTACTTTCTTAAATATTAACGTTTATAAAGATATAAGCTCATTCCGATGTTACACTCATCAAGAGCTTTCATTTGAGTACCCACATGCATTTTTGATATATTTTTCATATATACATATATATAATATATATAAATATATGAAAAAATGATGTGGGTACTCAAATGAAAGGTCTTGATGAGTGTAACTCCAGGATGAGCTTATATAGTTAAAAATATCATCAATGGACAAAATACAACGCCATTGCTTTATTATTCACATTTTTAAAGATGTAAGCTCATCCTGATGTTATATTCATCAAGAGCTTTCATTTGAGCACCCACATGCATTTTGATATATTTTTAATACATACATATATATAATATATATAAATATATGAAAAAATGATGTGGGTAACTCAAATGAAAGGTCTTGATGAGTGTAACTCCAGGATGAGCTTATATAGTTAAAAATATCATCAATGGACAAAATACAACGCCATTGCTTTATTATTCACATTTTTAAAGATGTAAGCTCATCCTGATGTTATATTCATCGAGATCTTTCATTTGAGTACCCACATGCATTTTGATATATTTTTCATATACACATATATATATAAATATATGAAAAATTGATGTGGGTACTAAAATGAAAGGTTTCGAGAAGCGTAATGTCAGGGAGAGCTTATAACTTTAAAAATGTAATTAATTGACCAAATACAATGTAATTTCTTAATTATCAATATTTTTCAAGATATAAGCTCATCCTGATGTTATACTCATCAAGAGCTTTCATTTGAGCACCCACATGCATTTTGATATATTTTTCATATATATATATATATATATATAAATATATCAAAAATGCATGTGGGTACTTAAATAAATGGTCTTGATGAGTGTAACATCGAGATGAGCTTATATCTTTACAAATATCAATAGTTCACAAGATACAAGGCCATAAAATTTTGCTTACTCTTTTAATATAGAATTAAAAAAAATTTTAAACTTACAATTATATATTTAATATGTTTAAATAAATAAATAATTAATATGACCTTTAAAGTGTCGGTAAATTTTTTACTTAATAGGAATCAAATTTAAAAAACTCTGATAATTTTTATAAAAAAGAAATTTAAAATTTTAATTAATTAAATTATAACTAAAAAAATATTTTTTAAAAATTGCATTTATAATTTTTTCAAATTTTTCTTATTAATTTTTGTAAATTAAAAAAAATGATCCGATGTCTGTTAATTTTATTAAATCAAATTTTCAAAGTCCTAAATTATATTTTAAATAAATAAATAAAATTACCGTAGCAAGATCTTTTTGCGACATTCCTTTATTTTGTCTTCCTTGTTGAATCAATTTTCCCAAATCCAAAGGAACAGTCTCGTGTTTAAGTTCTTCAGTCTCGCGATCTAATTTAGCAGTATTTTTTGTGTTGACATGCTGCTTATTTGATCCACCTCCCCCTGTGAAAAAATAAACATACTCAACTTGTATTTATTATTTATAAATAGAAACATAATTAGTAATTATCTGACTTACATTTAACTTGAGTGTCGACGGGGACACCTTGGCGACGAGCGGTGTTAACGGCCTAGAATGAAATAATTATTCAATGATGGAGAGTAATTAAAACAGGAGTAAATATAAAAAAAAAAAATCATTACCTTTTCGGATTTCATGGCTGAACCTTTGGGGACTCGTTTTCTCAGGGTTATCGGTACTGTATCCCAATCAGACATCTTTAATTGCTTCAGAAGACAATTGAAATAATATTTTAATTGATATCTTAGTAATTAAAGTTGTTAATATCGGCTTTTGAATAATCGCTCACGTAGTCTGATTTAGCTGTTTCACGTTATACGCAAATGTATCTACGTATTCTACCTACAGGGCAACAATAATAATAATAATAATAATAATAATAATAATAATAATAACAGTATTAATGGTAATGGTAAAATTCTAGAATTCTTTTCTGTCGAATTTTATTTCACTCCAAAATTTATAATTCTCCGATCCGTCATTATATTCTGTAGATGGCAGTACTTGCGCTTTTTTTGTGGCGGTACTGTCAGCGCGGTCACGCCTCTAGTGGTAGACTCGCAATCAAAAACGCCTCAACACCGCCAAGCGGCAACAACTGGGACCACTCAACGTACTGTAGATCTCACACGGATATACACAGATAAAATCGCTGAAGATACCACCTCAGCTGTGGCATCCAAATAATCTAATTAATCCAATTAAAGTTTATTAAATAATAATTAATTATTCAAATATATTTTGTTGACTAATAAATAATAATAATAATCGTATCACTTTGGTCTAGTAATTTTTAGTATAGTGTATTCCCTTTGAATCCAAATTTTCTTAGCGTTTATCTATCTTAGCGTTCAACTATCTGAGCAAATGTGATTTCGAGATTTAAAATTTAAAATAAACACCTATAAACAGCCTGAAAACAGCAACGATACCACAACAACAACCACTCCACCATCGAGTACAACGGCCGAATGGGAAATCTCCCAGTGCCATTAGCAATAATAATAATAATAATAATAATAATAACAGATAATAAAATATAACGCACGCGGCACAACGTAGTATTAATTGTTAAAAATAATACAAGATTTCGCATATACAACCAAAATGAGGTAATAAATTATTATTTTATTGTTATTTATTTATATTTTAATTAAAAGAAAAAAAAAGACATTGTAAATTTAACAATTTTAAGACGTTTTTTTTTTTTAATTATAAAAATTTCTGTTTACAGTTCGATAACGGCCTTGCCGAACGAAATTGTTTTGTACGTTCGTCCAGATGATGAAATGTGAGGAATAGCTGAACACTTCTGGTTTTACAATGGCATTCAGGTGAGCAACCAGTTAACGGTCAATCAGCTTGAATCAGTAATTCAAGTTGAATCCAGCTTAATACTGGATGATATAAATCACAATCACGTTTACGCTCTGACAGTTGCCGCAAGATACAATAATTCGTTATTATACTTTAAGATCTCAAAGATCACTAGATCTTCACCTCCTGTAAAAACTGAGATTGACATTATTGGACCGGGTGGAACTCTTCTTGATATTGATACCAGGATTGTTATTACAATTACTATCAATCGGATAATCGAAGAATAAAGTAGAACCATCATGTTGGTCTCGCTCACACCAGTGCTACAGCATCTATCTATAGCATCGGAAATTGGTGTTTATTTATTTTTTTTTTTTTGTATAAATTTCTCTTTAATTATTTAAAAAACGAATTAAAAAAGCCAAGATTGGGTTGATCCAGCTCGACATCCTTCCTCCAAAGACTGACATGGACTACAGTATGATTGCCTGCGATTACTCTGCGATGGACCGAATTTTGAAGGAAGAGAGGACCTGCATCCTGAAGATTGTCAAGCAAATCAAGAAATCTTCGTGCATTGTTCTCCTGATCAAGAAGTCGATTCTCCGGGACGCCATCAGCGACCTAGCAATCCACTTTTTAAAAAAAAGTGAAGGTCATAGTGATCAAGGACATTGAGCGCGAGGACATTTCTTTCATTTACAAGACCCTCGGCTGCAGACCAATCGCTTTCTTGGACCACTTCACCGCCGAGAACCTGATGAACGCGGAACTCTAATTTAAGGAGAAAGTCAAGACTGGCAGTTCAAAGTTCGTTAAAATCACCGGAATTCAGAACCCAGGGTGCACTGTCACTGTCTTGGTTCGCGGAAGCAACAAGTTTGTCTTCGAAGAAGCTGCTAGATCTCTCTGTGTCATCAGGTGTCTCGTTAAAGAAAAGATCCTGATTGCTAAAGTCGGTGCTCCTGAGATTGAACTCGCGCTCAATAATCTGTCCGCCTACGCACAAACTCTTGGAGGAGTTGACGCTTACTGTGTCAAAGATTGATGACATCATTAACACCATGCAGTAATTTTATTTTTTTTTTATAAATGCCTTATTTGGAGATTGAAATTATTGGCCAGAGTTGTCAGTTATGATTCTTTATTATTATTATTATTATTATTATTATTATTATTATTATAAGTAATTACTAAAGTAGTTTACATTTTTATAAATATATTTGTAAAATTGTAAGATTACTTTGGTCAGTATAAAAAATTTTTTTTCAATATGCATTTAATTTTACGCTTTCAAACACTTAGCTAAGAATTAATACTTTTTTAATAAATCTAAAAATATTTAGATTTTTTCAATTTAAAAAATTATGAATAAAAAATTATTTGAAAATAAAAATACAGATTTAGATATTTTTTTAATATATCTTGAATGAAATTTCTATTTATTTAAATTTGATAACTAACTAAAAACTTAAAAAATTTTTAAATTAATAAATAAATATACAAAATTTAAATAAAATTAGATTTATTAAAAAAGTTTAAAAAAGCCTTAAAACAAAAATATTTGCTTAAACTATTAAAAAATTATAAAATAAACTCGTTTTGTTCAATTTTTCTACTTTCAATAAAATAATATCAGTCAATAAAATTTTAACAACAGTTCCAATAAACATTAATAATAATAATAATAATAATAATAATAATAATAATAATAAAAAAAAAAAAACATAGAAAGTTTAGAATTTATTGTAGACAGTCTTTGTACGGAATATTGTAAAATGAGTGTGCGTAATCACGGTCCATTTTAACCAAAATCTCAAAAGTTTAAAAATTAGTGAGCATTAGCTGAAATAATTCTAGGCATTCTAGACCAACCTCAACAATTTTTGGTAATTATGTCATTCGACCCTGATTGGTATCTACCAGTGCTATCACCCTAGATTTGAAAACTGTTCGTAGTATCCTTGTTAAGATTGATGATATTATCAACACCATGCAGTAATTTTATTATTTTTTTATAAATGCCTTATTTATTTGGAGATTAAAATTGAATCAATTATATATAGCCTTTAGCTTCAGTTAGAATTATTTATTTATTTATTTATTTAAAAAAAAAAAAATAACACAAGTTTATAATTTTTTATAATTTATTAAGATATAATTACTATGACTAGGCCATGACAAAATTAAAGTCTAGTGACTTCCGAATTTTTGGCGGTTTTGTCTTTGCTGCCCGAATGACTAGATTTGCGATGCCTGCCCTGGTGATGATGATGATGATGATGATGATGGTGATGCGAGTCATGATGATGATGATGATGGTGATGTCCATCTTGGTCATGTTTCTTAGGCTTCTCTGCAGTTCCCGCGGTAGCAATAGTCGTCGAACTGCTTCTGTCTGACTTATCCAGGCACTCGCAACTGTGAGTGGAATCCAATTCGCTTTGATAGGGACTCTGGACCAGCAAGCTCTCCGTAGACTTCGTCGGCTGAAAGTGCCTTTGTGACCCCGTAGAATAGGCAGTAGAAGTAGACCTTCGATTAGACCCGGAGCTCTTTCGATTATGTGACTTTGGTCTTTCCGCGCTGTGAGTTTTAGCCGCAGTGTCCAAGTACCCGTACCCAAAACCGTAGCCTCCAAAAGCTTTAGTGGTCAAATTATCCCAGGATTTGGGCTTTGAGTATTGAATGCAGGTTGGAGGACGATGCTGGACATTGGGGTCCCAATAGAGGGTATCTGTGCTTAGAGAGGTCGAGCAAGATGCCCCGCTTTCGACGTTTGTAGAAATTTCACTGCTGGTAATCGAATGAAGACTATGTCCTGATGCTCTTGAGCAATGATTTGGATGTTGTTGCTGTTGCTGCTGCTGCTGCTGTTGTTGTTGTTGTTGTTGTTGTTGCTGCTGTTGTTGAAGTTGTTGCTGCTCACTTCGCATTCTTCTTTGCTTCTCTCTTCTCCTACGACTTGGTACGCAATTTGGATCACAACAAGGACTAGCAAGATCATAAACATCCAGACTCCCTCCCTCTGCAGGTTCGCGTTGTCGCTGATTAGCGCTAGAAATACAAGCTACACATAAATTATTGTGCATAGTAGAATGTGCGTTATCTTCTTTGGTCGAAGTTTGTGATTGTCCTGCGGGTTTCTGCTGACCGCTGTTGGCTTTATTTTTAGCCGGAGTCGAAGGTAATCCATTAGTCTGGTGATAGCTGTAACGACCTAGGCTGACGTCATTGGAATTCTTAGATAAAAAATAGTGGTGATCGCTGCGTGATCGTGGAGGACCTATTGTCACCAAACACGCAGCACTCCGAGGTATAAGGCAAGGTCGACCGTCTGTATACTGTAATTTTGATAAGCAATTGATTGATATATTAAATAATTTTAAAAATTTTAATTACATCATCTACACTGATATCTTTATAGGATTTATTAACTATTAATAATTTAAATTATTTGAAGACAATTATTTAGTTTATTAAATTTTAATAAATATTTTTTAACTGTTAATAAATATTTATTAAATCCTATGATATTAAAAAATTATTTATTAACAGATAATGGCTTATTAATTTAAATATTAGCAAGTCCTTCTATCAGTGAAGATGATGAAATAGTAGTAACTTACAACGCTGTATAAAAGTAGGTGCTCAATGGAAGTAGCGGGTCTGCAGCAAGGTAAATTCGAGGTAAATCCAGCTGAACCAGAGTCTCGATCCTCGTCGTTGACGCTGCAATTAGGTGCCTTTTTTCTCGCAGGAAGTGAGTGAGTCTTCCATCTACCCATTAAAATAGACCGCTCTCGCTCACATAGTCTGTCAAGTTCAGCTAAACGGGACTGCAGGGCACGCTGGAGCTCAATGTACCGCATGTGTAATTCGACCTTTCTCACACAATCTTCAAAGGAGACGACCATACGCATACGCGAGTCACAATTCTTAATGAAATTAACCAGTGTCTTGTGATCCGCGCGGTCCATTTCATGTCCGTTGATTGACAGAATAACGTCACCTTCTCGCATCCCGGCTTTGAATGCCGGTCCATCGTACTCGACAAAGTCCACGTAAGTAACCATTTCTATTTCCTGCTCACGTTTGTAGTGAATTCCGTAGCTCTGCAATTAGATTTATAATAGTTAAATAATTTAATTTATTACTTTTAATTTATCTATTCTAAGAACAGATTTAGTATTAGGAAAAATTTTAATAATAACTACCAACTTTGCAGTTACTATGTGACTGCTGTGAATTGTGAATTATTAATAAATATAATTTTGCTTTATTAAATAATGACGTTTGTTAAATTACACTGTAATTTCTTAACTATTGACGTTTTTAAAGATATAAGCTCATCCTGATGTTACACTCATCAAGAGCTTTCATTTGAGTACCCATATGCATTTTGATATATTTTTCATATATACATATATGTAATATATATAAATATATGAAAAATTGATGTGGGTACTCAAATGAAAGGTCTCAATAAGTATAATGTAAGGATAAGCTTATATCTTTAAAAATGTCAATAGTTCTCAAAATACAAGGTCATTTCTTAATTATTGACCTTCTTAACAATTATAAGCTCATCCTGATGTTAAACTCACCAAGAGCTTTCATTTGAGTACCCACATGCATTTTTGATATATTTTTCATATATACATATATAATATATATAAATATATGAAAAAATGATGTGGGTACTTAAATGAAAGGTCTTGACGAGCGTAACATCGGGATGAGCTTATATCTTAAAAAATTTTAATAGTTCACAAGATATTTGTCAAAATATTTTTGATATATTTTTCATATATATAAATATATAAAATATATGAAAAATTGATGTGGGTACTTAAATGAAAGGTCTCGATGAGTGTGTAATGTC